TCGCAGCATCAGGAAGCATGGACATTCTTGACAGAATTCCTGTGCAGAATTTTGGTTTTCCATGTCATCATCACATGGGCATGGGGCGGAGGAGCTGCAACAGAGAAGTCAAGGATAATTTTCAGGTTTCTGGTTTGCGTCTATAACATAGAGGGCTGGGCTAGAATTGTGTGGAAGAAGTATCTCTGGAGAGTGTTTGTTTTTAGTTTATGTTCTCAATAGGGAGCCTGTGGAACAAGCCTACTTGGATATGTGGTAGGAAAGTGAAAAGGCTTAAACTCAGGAGACAGGTTTGAGGTAGGCCAGTCTTGAGATGAGAGCTAAAATCCTGGCTGTGGGTGAGCTTGCCAGGAATATGTGAAGTACAGACAGAGGAGCTTGGGAGAGACTTGGATGGTGATGAGGAGAACCTTCCACAGATGATGTAAGGGTGACTCCCATGTGAGAGTGAGGTCAGTGGTTGATACAGTTAGATCTATAAGGTCTCTCAGACTTCTCATGTATATGGAAGGTGGCTGGAACACGGGACACTACAGAAGACTTGGTGTTAGGGAGGTGGACCCAAAAACATATGTGCTCGTCCCAGGGTCCAATCTCTCTCTGCTTCTGGGCTGCCATAATGTGGGTCACTTTCCTCCACTCAGGCCATTTATGCCATTCTTGTCTGAGAAACAACCAACCATGGACTGAAAATGCAAGGCAAAAGAATGCTTTTGTCCTTTCAGTTGTAGGTGTGCGGTGTTTCTGTCTCAGTGGCAGGAAACTGACCAAGACGGTGGCATTGGACTCTGTGGTGGGTGCTGTGACAGGCTGCTCATGTCCTAGTTCAGGAAAGGATTACTTGCCCAGCCACTGTATCTCCTAAAGATGGCCACCAGCTGCCAGCCCTCTGGGGACCACCCAAGGAAAGAAAACTGCCTGAGCCTATGTCTCTCCTATTTCCAGGGGGACCTATATCTACTGGTCAACCCTCATTCCACCCGGGCCAGCTCTGAAGAGCCATTGGTCTCCCGAGCTCCCTATGGGGGTGACTAAAGCCTCTTCTTAGACAGCAGCCCAGCTTCTCCCAGCCTAATCCTTCCTCCTTCCCCTTTTAAAGCAATGAACTCAAGTGTGCTCTGCAGTGAACTCTCCATGTTGACACGAGCCTCTTGGGGAGCCCCACATGTAGAATTTTCTTCCTCCTCTTCTCTGCCGTGTTGCTGTTTATGAATGGTTGCTCTGGAATTGCTTAGTGTTGTGCTCTGGGCTGCTCAGGCCCAGGCTCCGCTCTCTTCCATCCCCAAACAAACAAGTGGTGGTGGAAACCAGGACTCTTGTATCTTATTGACCCATTAAAACTTTATTTTTAATGCAAAATAAAACAAGGAAAAATTTATATATGCATATATAACATCCAAAGTGTTTTCTGTTGTATAAATGAGATCATCCTTAAAAGTTTGTAAAGAATTCACTCTCCATCCCCATATGCCAAAATATGATTTCATATAATTTAAATATATGAACAGACTTGTTATCATAAAAGCATAGGAAACACTAGAAAACTGGTTGGTATAAACAACAGGTTTTACGTTCTGATAGTAAATGACACTGCAGATGGAATGGAGCACTTTCTAAAGAGCCGAGTCAGGAGGTGGACTAGTCTTTGGGTTGGTTCACTTCCCACTCTGAGCATGGGATCCAAGCCCAGTTTCAAGAGTCAGGCCCCGTGTGATTGTATTTCTATGTAGGGACATGAAGGAGAAGGAGCTGCACTTAAAGGTTGTAGCTGCGGCAAAATGGGCTTATTTTAGATACATCTTTTTTCCTTTTTTTTTTTTTTATTGGAAAGGTGACTTTGTGAAGATATCTTATTGAGAATGACTTTTCTATCTTCCCTGTAATATTGTTTCCACCAAAGTCACCATGAACTGAGAGGGCAAGAGAAATACCGCTGTGGCTGTTTGAGAATCCAAGCCTTCCTGTCTAATTGCATGAAATTCAGAGTGTGGCTCACGGACTCAGTAAGCAATAGGGTATCTACCCAACTTAACATTAGCTGGAAGGCCACTCCTTGTGGATATCAGGGCTTACTGCTCATGGGAATTTGACGCACAGCAATTCTTTTACAAAGACTTCTAATCTCTCTACTCTCACAGATACTATGATGTTCCCCCAAAGAAAGTGAATGCAGGGTAAGGACAATAAGTACTCTATGCACACCAGAGAAAAGAGCAATGGGCTTTCTCATAACTCAGAAGTTATCAGGAGGGTTTCCTCTAAAATAGGTATTTAGTTCAATAATTTTATGACTGTTTAGGAGAAACAGTAAATTTTGTTTTAATTTCATTTAGTTAGCAGCAAAAAATAAAGCTACAGCAAAGTCTTGTCTCTCCTTGCTCTGGAAGCAGACCTGGGGCTTCCTCTGCAGTGACAGTGGCCCTTTGGTTCCCTTCCATATTCTCAATTGTAGGTCTTTTCTCTGTGCCCTTCAGTGGGGTCAATACATACACACCTAAAAGTCTAAGCATATTAAGCTTCAGAATAACTCTAATTTTTTAGCTACTTAGTCATAATTTAAGAAAATGTTCCTGTTTTTGAGTTTACCTTTCACCCACTGATTTGATATTGTAGAGAAGCAATATTAAATCAAGAGGGACAGCGCCACCATGCAATGGCATAATGGGTTAATGAGATGTTTTCTCCCTTATGGGGGACCAAATTTTCTTGCATCTAAAGGTTTTCAGTAGTGTGTTATCTTTCATCTTTCTACTACCACAAAAGGGAGAAAAATAGGGCTCCTGAAAAAAGAATCTAATGACTTGAGGCCGAATATCATTTTGAGGCCCAAATGACCTAGCAAGGCAGGTCTCTGTTGATGTGTTTGGAATAGAGCAGCAAACACATGCTGGAGTTCCACGTGCGAGGAGACACTGGAGTTTTCCCAAGCCATAGGTCCAGTGGGAACTGTTTCCTGCTCATGGGCACCTTCTAGTTATAGCCTGCACATCCAAATGCTCTGAACAGCTCCTGAACACTGGGAAAGTACCCTGTAACCTCTACGAGGTGACAATTAGAGGGCCAGTACACAGGCATTTATAAAGTTACAGCTCAGCTGTCTTAATTGTTGCTTGGCCTAACAGAGCCTCTGTCACAAATATAATATTAGTTTCTTTAGAGTAGGATCAGATAGAGCCTACGTACACTATAAGTAGGAGAATGTCTACAGTTTGCGCACTGTAAGAGCACCTTTCCTCACTGACTGCCCTTCCCGGTTAGCAGTTTACTCACTGTGTATATAGACAAGGCCATGCTCTGGAGGGCCTGCATGCACATAGCTGGAGTGCCAGTGAGCCTTCTTCCCACAGGGGCCCCTTCTGCAAGATCAAAGTTCCTGTCTGGCCACTCTAAGCCAGAAGAAGCTTTGGGGTGTGGATCTATCACATGGTGACAGAGACATAATTTCTTAAGATTTTACTTCTTCAAAGCAGGTTATAGTTCCCTCATCTTGGAGTTTATTTAGCACCAGGAAAAGGCCACAGCCAGCACATTGGCAAGAGAACCCTCTCCATCCTGCATCCCACCTGCAGGTGAGCGGGGCTTGAGTCCCTCAACAAACTGGAAGATCTGGAAGTGTACGGCTCATGAGAGATGGGAGAAACCCCAAACCAACATCACAGCCTTTTTGCAGAAGGCCACTGCGATTGTGGTTTAGAAAATAATGTCTCTTGAAGTTTAGTAAATAACAGTATTTACATCTAAAACCAGTGGTTCTATCATTTGTGGTAACAAACTCTATTTTAAATTTAAAAAAAGACTAAACTGGGTCCATTGGAAGCTCTATGCATTCAATAATGCAATGTTTCAAATCCTGCCTGTTAGAATTATCCTACTCTAGGTCAAAATGCATCTAAGCTGAACTCTGACATTCTGGGGAGGAGACAAGGAAGGGAAGAAGGAATGTGAAAATGCTCAAAGTACTTTCACAGTCACCATGGAGCAGTGCAAACTGCTGCTCCCTGGCCCGGCTGTTTCTGTCTATTGCTCGTGTTTTCATTTAGATCAGGCTCTAAGTTTTACATGTTCTGTTTCCACAGAAAATAGCTGCAAAGCTCAAAAGAAATTGGGATGGATTTGTTCTACTCAAGTATTTTAGAAGGTGGGGTTTCAGTTTTTGAAGCCATAAGACCTTCCTTCCTCAGTTAGCGGCTTCCTACTGGCCCTGAGCTTTATGAATGAAACGTAGCAGACTGACTTAATCTTCCTCCTTCTTCCCTTTCCTTGTCAGCCTCTCCAGAATGCAGTTTTACTTTTCATATTAGTAATCGGACATTTGTAGACACACACACACACACACACACACACACACACACACACACACAGCCATTCATTTCCATCTGCAACATGCTGGTGATAAGTTTCTGAAGGTCACAGCGCCTCGCTGTCCCCGAGTGTAGACTGGCACTGTTTGGCACAGAGTCCAGAGTTGGCAAGCTAGGGCCTTGCTTCCTGCGCAACCTACCCAGCAGGGCTTCTTTTGATCCCAAGAACACTTTAGTACTCAAGTGAGAGTCTTAAAATAGAGGCCTCAGTTAACATAATTATAGGAAAGAGATTTGGGGATGAACCCGAAACCAGCCATCTCCCAGCTATGGAGCCTGAGATTGGGAGGTGAGGACCCCAGGTGCTACCTGCCTTCACCAGGGGCCTGGGGGCCACGGGACACACTCTTCTGGGACACTAAGCAGTTCTGCACATTGTCCCAGGACACTAATACTGCATTCATTTTTTCACTGACTTTCATATCAAAAAAGCAAGAAAACATGTGACATGCTTCATTCAGATGAGTGGAATCAGGAACCCAAGAAAGACTACCCACAACTGCAGGGTCGTCCTCTGGATCTACAAAATTCACACAAGTCCCTAGCCATGTTTGCTGTTGCTTTTTTCTCAATGGGGAAAAAAACCCCAAAACTGTTTACACTAAAATGCCAGGATCTTTAGGCTTTCTACTCTGTCACTTTTTTTTTTTAATTTTTTTTATGATAGCAAAATTGTACTAAAGGTAGAAAAAGAAGCATGCTCTGCAGAGCACGTTTGGGCCAAGTCAGATTAGGAAAAGAAATACAGCTCACAGCACAAGTGCAGGCTACTGGGGAAGAGCGGACACAGTGCCTCTCTGCACCCCCACAGAGGGTGCTGTGGTTGAGCTTATGAATGACGCAGCTGCCCGTGGAGACTGCTTGTACTGGCAGCTCTGTGGCCGGCAGGGACACAGGAGCACAGGCTAGCTAGCTGGGGAGGCACCACATGGTTTAGCTCCACTTCTAGTTGTTCAGTTGCCACTCTTACTGGCTCGGTCAATTCTGGCAGACTTTGAAACACCAGGAAGTACTGTTTTTATGACCCCTTTCTTGCTCTTCCTTCTCAGTCTACCCCCTGTGCTCTCTTTTCCTCTCTGATTTGCCATCAAGTGTTGCACTCTCAGTGAGAAAAAGCCAATCTGTGCCATGGAGAATTCTTAATGCAGAGAAGGCCTCGCGGTGTAGGGAATGCAAAGACCTCTTCCTTGCTGGGTTAGGCTGGGGGCAACGGTGAAGTTCAGCTATACAGCTGCAGTCATGGGGTTCTTCTGCCGGGGATCTTGGGTTCTGTAGGCCGGGCGGTCGGGGCTGCCCCCTTGGGGCCCTGCTCTGCCCATTTCCTGATAGGCTGGCACTCTTTGTTGCCGAGGAGGAGAAGGTGGAACGTCTTGTCGGAAGGGTCCTTTGTGCTGAGGAAGTGGCGGCGGTGGGTAGTACTGAGGATAGCGGAGGTCTGTCACTCTCAGATCCGGAGGGCGGACATAGCCCCCTTTGGGAGGGTGTGCTGGGTGAGCTCCTGGGTAATATGGAAGCTCTCTTTCCTTGTACAGTCCTCGAGGCACTGCTGTCAGATAGTCCACGGGGTCTGCTGGGCCTGCCCTGGAAAAGAGAACAGACACACGTTAGCCGTTACTAGGCTGCCATGGGCTCCCTAGCTGAAGACCAAGTTCCTCAGCCTCATGCAGTTGGCTGTGGTCATAGGCCAGGCATAGCCAATGGGATGTGAGTGGAAGTGAGAAAGGCCCTTAAACACAAGAGGGAACTTTCTTTGTTTCTCTCTTTTTTGGCCAGCGGGGGCAGCTATGCTAGACCTCACGTTGAAAACAATGGGCTGAAGAAGAAAGAATGTGGGAGCCTGGGTCTTTGACTCCATGAGGCCACCATGTTGGCTAGTCTGCTTACACTCAGATTGGTATGTGTGAGAGAAACACACTCTTTGTTTATACCTTCCTACTCTGTTATGTAGTATAGCAGCTGAACTAGTTTCTCCAACATGGCAATGAGTTTGGTCCTTTGAAGCCTGGGCCCACAGGAGCTCCATCCTTTTCTTTTCTTTTTTGTGGTACCGGGGATTGAACTCAGGACCTTGCACTTGCCAGGCAAGTGCTTATTCTACTGAGCTATATCCCTGGCCCTCCATCCTTTTCTTAGTCTCTCTGAAACCTGTCCTAGATAGGTTTCAGAACTGCAGAGATCACTTGGCGTCACAGTCCCTGTGCACTACACTTACTTTCCTCAGAGACCTGGGAATAGCACATCGAGGGAGCTGTGGCCTGATTCAGGATGGCTGCTGTCACACCTGTGAGGTGTAGTGTGCAGTGTGCCCTCCTCTCCATAGCCCCTAGAACAAGTCCCAACCTAGGGCTAGCAACTATACCCCTAGAACGCTGATGGAAAGATTTACACCACAAAGTCAAGAAGCATCACCAGGCCAGTAGCAGAGGAGGAAAAACCAAAACAGCTACACAGAAAGACCCAGGGCAGGAATAATCACTAATGGGAAGTGACCCTGTCTGGATCTTTCTACTGAAGACAACAAGCATCTTCTGATCTGCTTGCCATAGCAGCGCACTGCATCTCCAGACAGTGTGCAGATGACTCATCTCGTCAAGCTTGGGGTTAAACACATAACTTCTGTTTGCAGCAATCAAAACTCCATAAACTTTCTGTGTACGCATTCACCACCACCATCCAACATCAAATCCCTGGATCCTTCCGCTTGGTCCCTTACTGCTTGGTCTCCTTCACCTCCTTTTTTTTAAAGAAAAATAGCAACAATAATAATTAATGAAAAGCTCTCCAATGACAGGGTAAAAACAGCAAGGGCACTTGAAGGAAATGACAGGGTTGTAAGAATACGGTATTTGTGGTTAATCAGGCACTGTCAATGAGGGTCAAAATCACTCTGTAATCTACAGAGCTGGATGTTAAAACAGCTTCGTCTGTTTCCCAAATCAATGGAGAGTTGACGAGCTGGAGGCCGGGTGTGTGTGGCAGGCAGCCTGCGAGCAGATCTATAAGGATGAACAATACAATTCACCCTCTACTTGTTTTTTTGTGTGTCTTAATTTGGCTATGTATAATAATGAAAGATAGATCCTCAAGCTCCAGGTAATTTAGTTAGTGCGAGTTTTCAGATAAAAAAATTAAATTGTTTGCGTACAAGTTATTATAACATCAGCTGCTATTATTCAGCACGGTTTGCTTTGCTCTCCTTTAAATTGCCCATGACAAATAGAGCACAAATACATCATTTGTCACTCCAGCCCTGGAAATAAAGAGTACAGTTTTCACCTTCCCTTCCCTTGTGAATTTCGTTTTTGATTTAGAAAACTTCCAGCACTCATTGTATCTTTTATGGTAAGTATTTTTACCACCCCCCTCAGCCACCACACTCATTTCTATTTCCTTTTGGCTCATACTGGAGATTTCACAAACACTTTTTAAAAAAATCCTTGTCCTGTGCTTTCTCTCAAAATCTACTGAAAATATTTCTCTGCACAAAATGGAACATGTGGTTTTTGTGCACTCATTTTTAAGCCCTTAGGATAAATCATTGACATTTGCAACATACAAACATTATCTGCCTTAAACGAACGTACAACCAACTCTCCCTCTGGACTCTCTTAGGGTGAATGTTTCCTGTTTAAAAGGGGAAGAGAGAAAGGAGGAATTCCAGGCCTTGGACTTTCAGGGTCCTGTTCTCTCTCTGGGGAGTTCTCTCTTTTAAAACAGAACATTACAAAAGACAGGCGTGCCTTTTTTCTTTTTAATTTTTGGAGAGACAATCCAGATCAAGTGGCGACAGGTGGGGCTGAAGCCACCCTGTGTGACTCGGGCCACACAGTCTATACACATGGGAGTGGGGCCATCTTGTCTCAACACCTTGCCCTCCCACAAACCCAACTCTCACTGTAAGGAGGAGCGAGTGAGGCTTCCCCTGGGCAGATGGGGTGACCTCGAGAGAGCTTTGTGGTCCCGGATGGCTTCTTTGAGGGAAGATTTTAGGTCTGAGAGTTTGCTTATGTGTGACAGAAACCCACTGTGGTAGCTGCTCTCTGTCAAGAAATGAGACCATGATAGGAGTGATCTTCATGGCAACGGTTATAATTCTTAAATTTTTCAGAGAGGAGAACAACAGACAAGCCTATGTAACACTATTGAAGGTTCAAAGAGTGTTAGAAGAATTTTTTTTTTTCTAGGGGGAGTTAGTACATTGCTGTTGTTTATAATTTTTTACTTGGTTCAAAACTATTTCCTACAGGCTGTTGTCAGAACAACTTCTGAGTTCTTGTGGACACTATTATATGCATGGATGGGGTGTGTGTGTGTGTGTGTGTGTGTGTGTGCGTGTGCGCGTGCCTGCATACACATTCACAATGCATATACGAAAGAATTATTTTTCAATAGAAAAAAGGAACCCTTTTCATTCCACACTTTGATAAAGGAGGAAGGAGGGAGAGCTTACACTTTCCCTTGTTCTTGGGTTTCTCTTTTTATAATCTTTTTATTTGGATGATATTTAGTGTTTGCATAAAGCACAAATGTGGCCTATCATGGGGCTACACAATGCTTTTCACAGTGCCTTGTGCCACCTGCTCCCAGTCAGCTCTGAAAAATCCTGGGGCAGCTTCCTCAGGAGATTCTGATCCAAACAAGGCCCCAAATAGCAGATCTGTAACTGCTTCCTGACCCCTCATTTTTCGTATGACCTCATATGTCTTATTTGTATGTTGTTATATCTTTTAAAATAATCTTCTCATTTAAAGTCTTAGAAACTATATTTAGTTGAAGAAAGAGAAACAGAATATATATATATTCTTTTTAGCTCTTTAAAGTAATGGTCTAGAAAATAATTTAAAAAATTGTTTTTTGCTTTATTTTATTGTTGAAGAGGTTCCTTTCTTGAAATCAGAAGAATTCAGATTTTGCTTGGAAAATGGAAAATTTATA